GAGGCCATTATTGATACTATATGTCTTTAAGCTGTATGCTTAGAAATGGGGATATTCATATAAGAATACGAATATCCCCATGCAATTGGACCTAATGAGGGTCTGTCCCCTGGGACTGGACCATCCACTCATGTGTCCTGCTCCAGGCAGAGGGCAGGAAGATGAGTCTCCCTGCACACATGCTGAGTGGCCAGCCGAGTGGGGAGAGAATGGTGCTCTGAGCACCGTTGGAAGGACAAGCGGGACCTGCGCCGTGGCAGGACATGTGAGTGGACAGTCTAGTTCCAGGGTCCGGACCCTCATTATGTCCCGCTGCACAGGTTAGAAGGTTCATTTTCATTGGTGTTTGATCCTGTTTTTAACTATTCATAAAGAATATTAGCCCGAGTTAACAAAGCACTGAGTCACTGCATGCTGAAAAGGCATTTGGCAGGGTTTGTTCTTGTTGTTTGCTATCCTTGGTGGGGGGGGGAGCTTCTTAATGTAATTCATTATTTAAAATTGCATGCAGTTGCCTACAACAATAGAACTGTGCAGTTAAGTAGAACAGCCAAAGCTGTACCAAAGGCTTATCAAGTGAAACATAAAAGTGCCTGGTGGTACACATTTCCCTTTAAATCCTCTGGAGTGGGAAAGTGAAACCCTTAGAAAGGCAGAAAAAGGGCCAAAGGCAAACCTAGTCCACTCATATACCAACCCAGGCAACCGATTCCCTACATAGGTTTGTATGGAGTGTTTGTATCTGATTGCATATTAGCAGAATTTTGCAAGTGGTACAGCAGGCACTGCAAGTAACTTAGCTTTTGCGTCCAAAAAGTTCCACAAGCTTTTATTCTTTGGTCACCAAAGTTTCACATCCTATACTACGAAACATTAAAAGATAATTTTTCCTTTGAAAAAAGTTTGTCAGAATTGCTGCTAAATTGGTTTCTTAGCTTTGAGGGACTTATGTAATTCAGACTTTATTTTATGGGTGCAGGTTTTTAGAAAGCTGTTACAATTGCCTGTGACTGCATGTTTCCGGCTTGAACTTGCAGCATCTCTAGGAGCCACCTCAAGTGCTCCTCTGAGATGAAAGAGCAGAGGTACAGTTTGGCGTTTTTGGCTTGCATCTCAAGTAGCCTTCCTTGAACAGAAGGGCTCATTCCATTCATGGAAAAAAGCTGAGGCCCAACAAAAGTTCACACCATCAGAAAAGCAAAGGTGATTTTTGCCTGTTTCTTCTCCTTCTGCAAATACCTGCCCCCATTTCAGAGGATGCCTCAGCCTTCAGACCAGTTGGCGTCAGGCACAAACAGCTTCAAAAGAAGCTAGCTGTATGTCTCAATGAACCCACAGATAAATCGTGGAGAAACGAGTTCAAGATGGAACTGCTACACACATGGGAACTCTAGGGAACCGCCCAGAGATCTTTGGGTAGCGTGGGCGGCATATAAGTTAAATAAATAAATAAAATAAATAACTTTTATGTTAACCATTACTTGCTGCCTACATGTCATTGGAGACAAAGGAGAAAATGCAATTTTACATCTCAACTAAAGTACAGTACACCTACTGAAGCAATTACTGATGGCAATTACATAATTACATAAGTGCAATTGATTTTGACCGGCTACTCCATTTGGATTCAGGCCACTAGAAGTAGCTCTTGGACAGCTCACAGTCGGCCCCTCCTTTGTAGACTTACGTGACATCGGATAAAAACCTCTCCTGCTGCTCAGTGCTTTCTGTGCCCTCCTCAGTGCCTCACTGGTTCTGTCAGAACACACCTCTGCCTCATCTGTGACTGAGGAGGAACAGTGGAACTGTTTAATTTGAAAGAAGACAATATAAGTCTCAAAAAAGGGGGGACCAGTATAAACGGGTGTGGCGTCCACCCTCATGCCCCTTTTGCTTGACCGTCAAGCCTCAGAGCACATGAAGGTAAACACTCTCTTCTTTTACACTTGCTGCCACCAGGCGATCTCTAAATCACCAGTACTTCAGAAAGATTCAGGTCCACACTTCAAGTTCCTTTAAATAAAACTTTGGTTTATTGATTACAGAGATTGTTTCATTAATATCTTCAGTAACTAATCACACCTCAGAATTTCCCAAACTACACACTCTATTACTCTATCTGATTCTTACTCTTACTGACTTAATCTCCCTTCCCTCTGACTTCTGACTCCGCCTCTTATAGCATCTCTCTTGGCTCCGCCTCTCAGCAACATGAATATTCATAAACCATTACATAATACAACAAGAACCACAGATCTAATAAATGGAGAATGCTACAACGGGGAATTTATAGGTGAAGTTAAAAATTTGTAGGAGAGACAAAATTATCACTAAATTCCCATATAAGACTGGGTCAGCTAGTGACCAATAGCATTCCAGGAGCTATAGCCCAAAACAGTAGCTTTTCCAAGCTCTGGTAAAACTGCATATATTGGCAATATCTAAACTTTCCATAAATCAGGATTACTGATTGCTGGCAGCTTTCATGGGGGGATACCATGAGGACTGCCCTGGTGTATTTCATTTGGCTTCCCCCGACACCTGCAAAAATCCCCCAAATGATCCAGAATTGAAGAGGGCATCATTCTGGGTCAAACTTTAGAAGCCACATTCCCCTATTCCTCACTAGTTTACTCTTCTACATAGTTTGGAAGACTTTCACTCAACATCTTTTATAGAGGATCGGAGATTGTGATTACATGCTTTGATATGTATTTGAAGTGCTTAGATAGTTTTAAAATAATCTTAAAATAGTTTTATTTTAAGGGATGTGTTATGTAGCCAAAATGATTTTAAAGGAACAAACTTTGATTTAAACAAAAATATCTGATTCTGGCAATAGAAGAAATGATTTCTTGTACATATTGATGAGATTATTTTATTCTATTTCATTATTTTATGAGCCCTCTTTCTCCCTTTTTATGTCTGAGGAAGTGAACCTGTCCCCAAAAGCTCACATTAAAATATAGCAGTTAGTCTGTAAGGTGCTATGGTTTTGTTCTTCTTTCTTTCTTTCTTTCTTTCTTTCTTTCTTTCTTTCTTTTGTTCGTTTGTTCGCTCGCTCGCTCGTTCATTCGTTCATTAGTTAATTTCTGCCTTTTTGCCCAGAATCAAGACTCAAGGCAGTTTGACAGTTTAAAACAATAGAGTTGTTGAAATAGAATTAAAGTAAGTAATATGATCAAAATTAAAGTAATTTAGAACCAATTAAAAATAGTAATAATAATTTACCTGAGGAAGAGGAGGAAGGAATTAGTAGAGTGTGATGGATACTCAATGCACCACACCAGCTCTTGGACTGATAATTGACTACTGTGTGGCCTTAAGAATGTGCCCCTCCAATCCCAACACTACGCTAAATTGAATGTTAATGGTATAATACTACAGGGGGAGGTCGCCTTTTCATTGACCCTATACATTTAATTTGCATTACATGCAGCATAATTAGCAAAACAGTAGCAGGCCTATTATCCATTTGCCAGCAAAGCTTAGCGAATCAATTCAAGTTTAATTCAAGGAGCTTAAACTCAAACATGAACTGTGACCATGAAGGCAGCCGCTTTCAGAATCATGTTTCTGAGGGGTTTTAAAGCCTATCGTCTACCCTTGGTGGATAGCCCTCTCATAGGTACTGTGTTTCCCCAAAAATAAGACAGGGTCTTATATTAAATTTTTGCTCCAAAAAAGCATATTAGGGCTTATTTTCATGGAATGTTTTCATTTCTTTCATGTACAACAATTCAAATACAGTCATGTCATCTTCTTCTGGTTGCTGCACAATGGTGGAGGGCGGGGTTTCACTTAACTGGGGCTTATTTTTGGGGTAGGGCTTATATTATGAGCATCCTGAAAAATCACACTAGGGCTTATTTTCAGGGAAACAGGGTATAACTTTTAGGGGATCATTATTTCCTCCGTCCAACCAAGGTTCCAGTTTTCATTGGTTGCAAGAAAGTGTAATAAACAGCAAGGAAAAACCTTGGGAGTTAGATACAGAGAAACAGATAACGGTTTATTAGCACTGTGAACCACCAGCATGAGTTGCATGTGAACTCTGCCAAACTAGAAAAGCTCCCAATAAATGGTAATTTTTAAAGCATCTTAAGTGGACTGCATTAGCCTATGCAGACCTTTCTCCAGATGAGGAGGTAATTTACAAGCTGAGCTGGCTGTGTGTTTTGTGGTATGAACTGATCTTCTGTAATGGTATTTAGTTTGTGTGCCTTGTAATAATCCCTTTCTGGTTTGCTGTAAGGTGCCAAATTTGGCTGAGGCACCATTTTATGTTTCAGTGGCATAAGGCAATTGCTATCTACTCAGGACTTTGTGCATGGAATTGTTCATAGCAAAGCCCTCTCTTGGATATGTTCAAGGTTCATTTGCTGGAGAGAAGCCACACATTTTAAGAGTCTTGGTTATGGTTATTCTGTTATCTCACTTAATAAATAGATATAGAATTGCTCCTGTGAAATAAAAACATTTCTGAAATGTCGTTCTTTCCTCTGAAATAACACCTGGGTGATCTGAGAACAGAGAGTCTGTGCAGTTGTGCTTTCACTTTCATATCTGTATGGTACAATCAGTTAACTAAAAAGTGCTGTTCTTTTATGTTCTAAATGCAAAAAGCACATACCATCCTGCTTTCTCCTTGATTTCCACAGGATAAAATAACCATGGTAATAATCAATTAACCTCCCTTGCAAAAAAAATTAAATAAATAAATAAATCACAAAAAGCCCTTTGAATATTTTCTATATTCTGTTTTGTAAAAATCCTGTTTTCTCAGGTATTAACACTAGTCAGAAGTTCCACCTGTTTTTCACTTCATGTCCTGGTTCAGAAGAGCTACAGAAGTACCCAAAGAGGGTTGTTAAGGTGACCATAAATGTACTGTGTTTTTCAGAAACTTTGGTATACTTGTAAATATGTGTGTTAGACTTCTCTAGCTGATCTTATTGTTGGGAGGGGCCGTTGGTTGATTGTCTCTTATTTTATTCTAGGTCGGAATAGTCCTGCATTATTCGACACTTGCTACTGTGCTATGGATTGGGGTGACTGCAAGAAACATTTATAAGCAAGTCACAAAAAAGCCTCAAAGTTCCCAAAATAGTGACCAGCCTTCTTATCCAAAACAGCCATTGCTCAGGTATGAAAGACTGGTGTGTTTTTTGCTCTGTGAGAACTACTGTGCTATTTGAATAAACTGAAACATAAATATGGCTGTGTTTCCGAAAATTGTGGAAATGTTTGCAAGCCTACTGTTTTTCTTCAGAACTTTCAGCAAATCATGTTGGCATGGCATTTTTTCAAAAAGGTTACAATTTCTGTCTGTCCATAGGCTCCACAGCCCATTAAATGATTTCAGGAAGTCTTCAGTTTCCAGTTAATTCAAAACTGGATTTAACTATGGTTATCAGAATGAGCCCAAAACAGGATTCTAAATGTTGTTTTGGTTTGAGACTGTGTCTGTTTCATTTTAATCCGGATAGCCACAATTTCCCCTTTTGGATTTAGCAGGTGTAGTGCCCAAGCCTCCTTAAGGAGTGCTTAGCACTCGGTCATAGAGTTTGACAGGCCACTTACCTACCACCTTTGTGCTGAGGCAAGTCCCAAGACCTCAGCAGTGTGTAATGTAAGCCCCTTGAACAAGTCTGACCTTAAAAGAACACTTTATTTTTGCCCAGTACTTTGCAAGTGCAGACACATTCCTTAGAACTCACAACAGCTCAGTTAGGTAGGGCTCTTAAAGATAGCTAGTTTGTGGCCCTCTCCACCTCCTGGATTTAGCCAGACCCTGCTGTTCAAGAGACTTGTCCTTTTGGTAAGAATTTTTATAATTATTTTTATTAGAAAAATAGAGTTTCATAGAATCAGTTTCTGTTGCTCAAGCTTTAGCATAAAGAACATATTCAAAGATCATTACAGTTAAATAAAATAACTAATCCCCATTAAAATAATAAACACTACTAAGCTGGGCTAAGGTGGGCTAGACCCTCTTCCTTCTTTCTCTTCACTTACATTCTTTTTCCTGTAAGCCACATACTCAAACCATCAAGTTCTTTTTCTCTCCCATCATCATGGAATAGAACTGAAGTGAACTTTTCCCGCATAACCCATCGTCCATTTTCTACATTCTCTAACCCCTCTCTTCTTCTTGATACTTCATGGCTGTTAACCAATTAGCCTCAAGGGGCTGTAACACCTCCCTCCTTCCTCAATTCTCATGAAGATCCAGGTGTTTTTTCTCTTCTCCAATTAGCTCAGAATGTTGAGTCTTTCATGGGCTCCTTGGTCCAACCTTCAGCTTTATCTCGAACCACACTGTACCAGTCTTGAGAAAAACACTCTCATAGCACTTAGAAAAACACATATCAATGTCTCTCAAATCATTTTCACACAGAACCTGTCTGACTCCATCTTACATTTCTCTGACCATATATTCCATACTGCTTCAACTCCAGGACAGTAGGAAACTATGATTAATTAAAGATATACTTCCACTAAGCCAGAATAGTTATTTTTTTATAAAACAATATTTTTATTTGGTATATTTCAGATATAACAAGAATATAACTGTAAAGTTAATAACATTTATTAAGGCAATAGAATATTTGTGATAACAGTCCTTATTGTGTGATGTTTCACAGTCTGATATTATGAAAAAGGCAGTTCAAGAGCTGATTCATTTTTAGATTTTAAATATATTGTAAAGTCAACCGAGAACTCCACTTTCTACAACTAGTCATGCGAAGTTGGAACTCTTATACTTTGTCAGCTTTTGTTAAATTTTCTTGCATGTGAAATATGAATTCTACACTGAATGTTCATTTATCATTACAAAAATATTTTTAGATACCTATTCTCACGATGAGGTTTCTATTCATAGTGTGTCTAACTTGGAAGACTAATAGAAAGAGGAATTGTGTGCTTTGATACTTCAATTATTTTAATCACTTGTGAAAATTTAGATGTGGTCTCCAATTAATCAGTAATTGCTGAGCTGCTGAATGATTTCTAGTATTGCATTTTAGCAAGTGAACATTAAACCTGCCATGCAGGTTGTAGAATGGCTTATTCTCCCTTACTTTTTTAATATTTAACTATTTATAATCCTAGCCCTTCATTCTGCACTGAATGTACTTTGGACACAGCATGGCAAATCTCATTGTATTTGAGTCGAGTGGCCATGTTGACAGAGAATTCTGGTACTTGTAGTGCAAAGAGCTCTGCTAGATAGGAATATTTTTGTTCTATTTTTTTTTCCTGTATCACTGTCCTGTTCAGAGCAGAATCCACAAAGTGCTACCTTTTCTGAATGAGAACCAATGTTTTCACCAAACTGACATAACCTACTTTCTTCCCAAAGGGAAGTTTAAATTTGAGGTTGTTTGTCAAGTGCTTCCTTTGTCGCTCAAGTTACATGGCTAACTGCAACCAGTATAGGGCAGCAGGTCTAACTTCATGTTTGATGTCCACAGCTTTTATGATAGCAATAAAGGTAATAATCTTAGAACTGCAGAGTAGGAAGGGACCCTATGAATCATTGTGTTCAGCCCCTGTCAAGAAGGCAGAGTGGGGAATCGAACTCCCAACCTCTGGCTACACAGCCAGATGCCTAAACAGTAAACCGCGTGGAATTAACACAATTTATGCACCCATTTAAAACCCAGCAAAAAGCAATGCAACACTCGGCATCCTTTAAAAACCAAGTCAGTAACCAAAGGCCTGTCTCGATGAAAATGTCTTTGCCTGCCAGTAGGAGAGCCATGGAGTTCTGTAGCCTGGAACCAGATACTGAGAAAGCTATGGATGTGGTTTATTTCACATCTAAATAAAACCTAAAGAAAAGCACATTTCTGTGTTCATAGAAAGACCCAGAGAAATCTGTATCTCTTCACTTCATTGGCTTTTTGCTATTTAAAATATTTTCTAGTCAGAGAAAATAGATTATATGCCCTTTAAAACTTGTCTAATGGAACAAGGAAACACTTCCTGGAAGCCTCATGCGCTACATAGAAAATGAAGAGCAGTGTTTTCACTGGGAACCTGAGTTTCTCAATTTGTGATTCATTATAGTGTTCTTCACTCAGGGCTTCATGGTCAAATGAATAATTGCCAGTTTCTAATGCTGCAGTAGAGTTATTAAGGTAGAAGATCATTTTAGGTTGCAAAGACCGAGCTTACTGTGTATTTACTGTTTTTTTTTGTGTTCATATTAGGTTTGGAGGAAAACAAACAGTTGGGTTACGGAAAATATTTTTTTCCAATTATATCTCTGTTGCAACTGTCCTTTCATAAACATGAGCCAGCGATATTAAATAATTACATATTGTCAACTTTAAAATAGCAACAAAGCCCTGCCTATGCAACAACTGAACACAGAATTAACAGTTTAATGCCTTCCTGAATTATGCTGTGATTTTGTCACTAAGGATATCATTAACCTTAGAGGCAGAACCTCGGAATATATCTAATATAATTCTGTAATGCTGACTATTAAATTGAACAATGCTTTTTTATTATTTTATTTTTTAACAAAGGGGGTGACAAATAGGAAAAGGGGAATTGGAATTGATGAGGAAACTAAGGATATCATTAACCTTAGAGGCAGAACCTCGGAATATATCTAATATAATTCTGTAATGCTGACTATTAAATTGAACAATGCTTTTTTATTATTTTATTTTTTAACAAAGGGGGTGACAAATAGGAAAAGGGGAATTGGAATTGATGAGGAAGAGGGGAGACAATAACATACAGTGGTGCCTCGCTTAACGAGTGCCTCGTTTAGCGATGAATTCGCATAACGATGTGTTTTTTTAGAAAATAATATGCACCGTATAACGATGTTTCCTATGGGCGATTTTCGCTTAGCGAAGTTTGGGACCATGCTTCGCATAATGAATGCGATTTTAGGTCCCCTGCTTCCCTTAACGATTTTCTTTTTTCAATTTAAAAAGTGTCTTAGAAGGGTCAAAAACGGTTCTAAATGCTTGGATTCGTTAGAGGACCCCCTAAGTCATGTGCAAACCTGATTTGGCTTTGATCTGACTTTTCGTTAATTTATGGTGAATTTTTTTTTCGGCCCATAGGAACCAATGGACCTTCAAAATCTGACAGCTCCATGCTTTCCTATGGGGGAGAAAACAATTCACCATAAATTAATGAAAGTTCAGATCAAAGCCAAATCAGGTTTGCACACGACTTAGGGGGTCCTCTAACGAACCCAAGAATTTAGAACAGTTGCTGAGTCTTCGTTATTTTTTGTGAATTTTTTCTTCCCCCATAGGAAATAATGGAGCTGTCAGATTTTGACAGCTGTCAAAAGTTGGG